CTCTTGCAGCCGGCGTAGTTCATGTAGCGGATCTTGCCGAAAACGGCCCGTTCGGTCCAGCCGTGGTCGTGCGTCCCACAGATGGACCACATGCAGCCTAGTGGAGAGAAAACGAGACACAGAAAAGTAGACTTCGTCTAGAGGGGTGGGGCATAAATGCAATAAAAGTAAAAAGTAAAGTAAAGGATTGGACGCTGGTGTCGTTCCCTTTGCGAGCGCGCTAGCAAACGTGGAGTAACTTGAACTGCAAAGCATGCTACGGGCGTGGGCCAGACAACCTCCTACACAACAGGGCAGACTTAAACTCTTAATAGGGCTCTCCCACTACATATTTAGGTCTTTATAGGATGTGCAGGATTACAAAGCCAAATGGAAAGGGATCCAGAATTTCGCCCCTTCTCCCGCCCAGAAGAGTGAAGGGAAATATCAGATAAACTCTTTCATAGCCACGTTCTGTTTTCTGAGTCAAAAGTAAGCCTTTAGCCTTCCTAGAAATTTCAGAACTACAACGCCCATGACGGCTTCCTACCAGACATGCTGGGAGGGGCTGATGGGCATTGTAGGTCCAAACATCTGGCTACACAAACGCTCTACAATTCTATTTTTGGACTCCAATTCCAGCATGACCTTCAGAAAATGAAAAAGAGCTGCGGTCCTGATACCTCTTAAAAGCATGGCTATAAAAATTCCTCAAAAGCGTTTTTTAAAAAGATCCTCCTTCGAGCCAAAAGAGTCTTGCAAACTCGAACATTTGCCAGCCACAATTTCTGATCACGACTGGTCTCTCAAGTCCAGTCGTGTAGCAACCCGAGAGTTTCTAGAGAGGAGAAGAGAGATGCCCCCTCCTATCGGGCCTTGCTTTGGAGCAAAATGTTAGCCCCCAACACTGTATGAAACCCCCCCTTCCCTTCCGAACACCAGACACGGAGGTGGACCACAGCCGCCTGACCAGGATCTGCCTCCGGCGATCCCTCAGCTCTTGAGCTGGACTTATAACAGCCCAGTTATACTCACCCACATAGCCATTGGGGTCCCTCCCATCCAGTTCGTAACGGTCGTTGAGGTAAATGCTGAATTTCAGGGCTTCTTCTGGAGAATTGGTCCACTCCAGGATCTTCTTAGCCCAGTACATCCGCAGGAAGCCATGCATCTTCCCTTCATGAACCATCTGGAGCTGAGCAACAGAGGGTCGGAGAGAGGAGGAGGTGAGCTACGAAGACTGGACCGCTCCTCGGAGAAAAGTGGAGCCATGGAGCGCAATGTCTACTGCTCTGTGGACTGATGGAGCGCTGTAGTGCTAAACACACAAATGCACAAGAAGAGGCTACCAGTACCACCCAGTTTCCGCCAGTGGGCAAAGAGATTCTTCCAAGAATCTCCGAAGCGGGGTGTGGGAGCCACACATTGTAGGCCAACATCAATTAAAATGCGTTCCCTCTGAGGGGCAGGTGGTTATCTCCTGTTCCGCAACCTTGTTGAGCCCTTGTAAAACCACTGCAGCTCATGGCTAGCACAGAGCTTGGGAAGTTACTTTTAGAAAGGAATTAGTTACAGTTCTAAAGTACCCCCCCAGTTAGTTAATTATAATTTTTAAAAAATTTAAAAAGCAATTATTTTCATTTCTGTAACATTTCTTCAGAGGCAAATGAAATATAATCACTCTTTTTTAAAGCTTTAGATGCTGCAAGCCACTAGCCTATGGTTCTAAATACATACAGTACTTTCTTTTCATCCACCACATCATCATCTCAACTTGCAGAAATGAGAATCATGCTTGAAACAAGTTAGATTCCTTCTCCATCACTGGATGGATCCACTCACAGGTGGACAAAAATAACTTAAAAATTACAGTTCCACCCTAAAAGGAATGCTTTTCCTTTCTTAATTACCATTAGGACCTACTTATATCTTTGTTGCTGGAAAAAAAAGGAATTCATTACAGTACCCAGTTACTTCTAAGCTCTGGCCTATCCCATCATGCAACGTGGACCATTTTAAGGCAGTACTTTTCCATTTTGAGTAACTACTGGCCTGGTCTCAATGGGGGTAAACCCAAGTTCTAGTATCATAAGACAGAGATAGAAGATATTTAAAAGGTGGCCTTCCTCAATCAAAACGGCCTCCCGTGGTACTGGACTACAGTTCCCATCACTACACTGCTTGGGGGTGATGGGAAATGTAGTCCTAAGCATCAGGAGGATGTTGGTCCGAGGACCACGGATGGACCATCTGAGCGTAAGACACTAATCTTGATACAGACTCTCAGCGTATGCGCCAGGAAACACCAACTGAGAGCTGTCTGATCCTGCACATTCCCCTCATTGGAAGTTTTGCTCTAGCAGAAAAGGACAGCTGTCGCACACGCCCTTGGTCGAAGAACGGCATCCTCCATCTTCCTGGGATGGTCGTCCTGTTCTCCTCGAGCATGCACCTTTGTGAGGGACCCGCACAGAGGGAGAAGGTGCTCGCCTAGCCAGCCAGATCCACCCCACCAACCCTGGAGAGAAGGGCGTCACTGATATCACTGCCCTCCTCCCATCCTGTCGGGAGGATGTTGGCCCGAGGACCACGGATGAACCATCTGAGCAGAAGACACGAATCTCGATACAGACTGTCAGCGTATGCGCCAGGAACACCAACCGAGAGCTGTCTGATCCTGCACATTTCCCTCGTTGGAAGTTTTGCTCTAGCAGAAAAGGGCGGCTGTCGCACACACCCTTGGTCGAAGAACGGCATCCTCCATCTTCCTGGGATGGTCATCCTGTTCTCCTCGAGCGTGCACCTTGGCGAGGGACCCGCGCAGAGGGAGAAGGCGCTCGCCTAGCCAGCCAGATCCATCCCACCAACCCTGGAGAGAAGGGCGCCACTGATGTCACCGCGGCCAAACCGCCCTCCTCCCATCCTGTCTGAAGTCCTGCTTACCTGCGCAGCGTTCCAGAGAGGATCGTGGGTCTTCCCTTCTTCCAGCTGCTTCAGGGTGTACAGGTGAGACCTCTTGTCTTTCGCATGCAGCTGCAAGGTGGTCTGTGCCCAGTCATAAGCACCTTTGCAAGGGGGGTGGGGGAATGGTGTAGAAAACAGCAATAATAATGGTTGTTTTTATTTCAACTGATTTTATTTCAACTGGAGCACTCTCTGGGCAGTTTACAACATACTTATGCAAACAATTTGCCCTCCTCCCGCCCCCCCCCAGCCAGCTGGGTACTCATTTTACCAACCTCAGAAGGATGGAAGGCCGAGTCAACCTTGAGCCGGCGATCTGAGCCCATCAGGATTGGACTCAGCTCGTGAGAAGAGTCTTGACTGCAATACTGCAGTTTAACCCACTGTGCCATGGGACTACATCAATTGAAAATTCACTCTACAAAATCAACTGCTCATGAAAACCTAGATAAACACATCCTTTCTTCTCACTTATTTGGAAGGATGATGGGAAAGAAAGAAAGAAATCTGTTTTTTAACAGTTCCAAATTATAAAACTTAAATCTTGCATCAATCCCTCTGCACTCCTTCTGAAAGTCAGCAGACTCGGTCCCCTCTGAAGGGGCCACTACTCCTGAAAACCTCGTATTGCAGCTACCAGCAGTTCACTTTTTTACACAACCCAAACATAGGGACGTGGTCCATCAGGATCAAACTGAGCTCGTGAGAAGAGTCTTGACTAAAGTACTGCAATTTAACCCACTGTGCTATGGGGCTTTATCACATGAAAATTCACTCTACAAAATCAACTGCTCATGAAAACCTAGATAAACACATCCTTTCTTCTCACTTATTTGGAAGGATGATGGGAAAGAAAGAAAGAAATCTGTTTTTTAACAGTTCCAAATTATAAAACTTAAATCTTGCATCAATCCCTCTGCACTCCTTCTGAAAGTCAGCAGACTCGGTCCCCTCTGAAGGGGCCACTACTCCTGAAAACCTCGTATTGCAGCTACCAGCAGTTCACTTTTTTACACAACCCAAACATAGGGACGTGGTGGTGCTGCAGGTTAAACTGCAGAAGCCTCTGTGCTGCAAGGTTGGAAGGCCAAGAAGTCGTAAGATCGAATCCACGCATCGGAGGAAGCTCCCCTTGCTTGTCCCAGCCGAGAACCTAGATAAGCACAACCTTTCTTCTCCCTTATTTGGAAGGATGATGGCAAAGAAAGAAAGAAATCTTTTTTTTTTTTTTGAACAGCCCCGAATTGTAGAATTAAATCTTGCATCAGTCCCTCTGTGCTTCTTCTGAAAGTTGGCAGACTCGGTCCTCTCTGAAGGGGCCACTGCTCCTGAAAACCTCATATTGCAGCTACCAGAAGTTCACTTTTTTACACAACCCAAACATAAAGCTGTGCAGAACAACCCCCCTGGCAATGGTCGGTTTCGGCTTGACCACCCCCCTTCTGCAAATTACAGTCCAATTCTTACAGAACGAAATATGATCACTGTTGAGTTTTAAGGACTCTTGGTAACAACGGCTTAGACGTCCGAAGTCAAGACACAAACTCAGCCAAATTGGGCCGCCTCTGAATTGGTCCAAGCCAAAATTATCCACTTTCACAAACGCTCACAGCGTAGCCCGAACTGATTCTTCCCTGCACAAGCTTCAAACACCCACACGCAGCACTGGATGAGCAAAAGTAATTGTGTTTTTGCAAAGTGTTTATTCTGTTTGCACTCTCAAGAAACACGCGGCACGATCAAGCCCGCGCCTGTTCCCAGTCTTCCACACAGAACAGAGCCAAAGCAAAGCCAGCCCGCCTCGCTTACCTTCAACTCGGTCGTAGTTTTTGTTGTAATAGCAGAAGTTGTCTGCCAGTTCCCGGCGCACCACGGCCTCCTCAATGAAGGCTTCCACGGAGTCCTTGCACCTGCTGCGGTGCTGGCGCACTTCCAAGATGGCGCGCTGAACCGAAATCTGACCTGTCGGGAGGAACCACGGATGACACATATGTACTGTATCACTTTGTGGCATCCTGAATATTTTTTTTTTTGCATCTTCCCAATTCCGTTCTGTGACTCCAAACAATGCAGACTTTATCACAGAACGGCATTAACTGGAAGGTTCCCCCCAAAGATCATCCAGTCCAACCCCTTACCCAAGCAGGAAAGCCACACCTTCATGCACCTCTGACAGGTGGACACTTAACAGCAACAAATATCGGTGCTGAGATTAAGTGGCATCTTGTCTCGCCCACTGTGCCTCGGGGCATGAACCCCGCCCAAAGGAAAAGGAGAATATGCTAAAAAAGAAGGGGAGTGAATCGTGCCGGAAAGGTGTGGTTTATCCCCCTAATACTCAACAGTATGTTCACTTTTAGATTTTGGTATCCTCTAAATTTCGGTCCCCTGCCCTAGTTTAAAACTTTGACACCCACCGCCGAAGAGTTCTTACTGTCAAGAAATTCTTCCTAATGTTTAGGCGAAATCTCATTTCTTTTGGATCCATTATTTTGGGTTCGACCCTCTGAAGTTACAGAAAACAAGATGATAATTCATCTTCCAGGTTACAGTCCTTTAAATGCTTAAAGAGGGCTTGCCCTGTCACCTCTCGGTCTTCTCTTCTCCAGGCTAAACATACCCAATCACCTCTCACTCTTCTCTTCCCCAGGCTAAACATACCCATCTCTCTTAGCTGTTCCTTAGCAGGCTTTGTTTTACCTCCCTGGTCCACACTCCTACGGACAGGTTCAAACTTATAACCTGGTAAAGAAAGCCTAGAAGCCCTTGGTGGTCCTCAGCTAGTTGCACTTCCACATCTTCCCCTCTCACCAGCAACTCGAAGACCAGCCAAGATCTCCAGCCTTCACATTTATAAACGCTGCCTTCAAACTGAAACCCTCTGGGATAGGACAGAAGATGGGCCAAGGACAAGGAATATTTATTTCTATCTGCTGGGAAGCAGCATGTGAAATAGATTCAAAACTCCAGAGAGAGACTCAAATATACAGTGGTGCCCCGGATAGCGATGATAATCCGTTCCGGATTAATTGTCGCTATCTGGAAACATCGCTAAACAAAATTAAAAAACCCATAGGAACGCATTAAACTTTGTTTAATGCGTTCCTGTGGGGCCCAAACTCACCGCTATGCGGAGATCCTCCATTGTGCCACCATTTTCGCCGCCTTGGTAAGCGAGGAATTGCGGTGGCCATTTTGGGCACCCGGCAGCCATTTTGGAACCGCCAATCAGCTGTTCCAATCATCGCAATGCGATGTTTTGCCCATTAAAACATCGCAATGCGATCGCATTAGTGATCTAAAAAAATAGATCGCTATGTGGATTCGTTGTTAAATGGTGCGCTTGTTAAGCGAGGCACCACTGTACTGCATGTGCCCTAAGCACTCATGGACCGCAGCACACTTCACGAAATACCTGAAGAAGCTCTTTGGAGGAGCAGCGAAAGGTTTCAACCTAACAAGGAAGACCAGTGTCCATGACTCAATGTCCAGAGAACCTCACTTGAAGGATGGAGAACCTTCACAGATATTTCATTAAATATCGGTTAAAGTAAACGGCACTTTAGAAAACCGAGTGATAATACTCACGGGCCATCAAGTCGATGCTCACTTAAGGTGATCCTTTTCAGAGTTGTCTAGGTTATTAAATCTTCATCTCTGCGCTTGTGTCTTCCTGCTCAGTGTCTTCGGTTTTTCTAGGCTTTCTAAAACGGTCTCTACGCTTTCAAAGGATTTACCCTTCTCTTTTACTGAGCTTTTATTTGGGAAGGGGGGGCAAGCAGAGGGAAATCTTTCTCTGAACTTGTCTTTGGGGCTCCCCAAAGTCAAGCCCCCCTCCCCAATACCATTTATTCTGGAACATCAGAAAAAATCTAAAAAGCACCTTAGGGGAGATTGGAGAGCACTTTTCAAAGACTTGAAAGACTCGATCATCCCCAGAGTGCAGGACACGCAACCATGGGCTCCAGCTAAAGGAAGCCAGATTTAGGCTATCAGGAAAAAAAAACCTTCTTAACTGTTAGAGCAGTACACCAATGGAACCGATTACTTTGAGAGATGGTGAGCACTCCAACGCTAGAGGCATTCAAAAGAAAATTGGACAACCATCTTCCATATCTGCTTTCAGATTCAGATTCCTGCATGGAGCAGGGGTCTGGACTTAGTGGCCTTACAGGCCCCTTTCCCACGCCATTATACTAAGATTATTCTATGATCTATGATTACGATTCTTGGCAATAAAAAAATGCAGGACTAACCCATTTTGTAGTCCTTTCTGGATAGCTTAACAAAAACTGCTTCCTAAGAGTAGGCACTTAACTCTGTTTCTAGAGGAGATAACTTTCTTAGCTGTTATTTCAGGCACACCAATCCTCAGTGTGCAGGGAACAGCCGGCTCATTCGTGGGGTAGCAACTGTCTTTGATCACACCAAAAGTGTTAAAATAACGGCACAGCATGACTTTTGAGACCAGAGTGTCCAGAATCCCTGACTCTTCCTGGATTTGCGCCCGAAAAGAAAGTCACCTTCTCACTCACCAAAGTGGAACCAAGGAGAGAGCTGGCTGAGGGCTGCTCGGTTGGGGTTGTTCCTGTCCGCGCTAAAGAACTTGAGCCGCTCCCGGATGAATTCCTCCAGCATCATCAAGCCGGAGGTTGAGCCCGGCTTGGCCCACTCCACCTCCTTCACCGAACGGTCAACCTGCAGGCTGGCATAGCAGGCGTCCCAGTTGATAGGCTTAAGAACCAGGGGAAAAAAAGAACAGCAGTGAAGACCCGTAGCCAGGAACAGCCCCTGAAGACAGGTAAAGGTAAAGGTCCCCTTGACATTTAGTCCAGTCGTGTCCAACTCTAGGGCGCAATGCTCATCCCCATCTCCAAGCCGTAGAGCCAACATTTGTCCGTAGACCGTTTGCATGGTCGCATGGCCAGCATGACTAGACACAGAATGCCGTGACTTTCCCACTGAGGTGGTACCTATTTATCTACTTGCATTTTTACATGCTTTCGAACGGCTAGATTGGCAGGAGCTGGGACAAGCGATGGGAGCTCACCCCGTCGTGCTGATTAGATCTTACGACGGCTGGTTTTCTGACCTTGCAGCACAGAGGCTTCCGCCGTTTAACCCGCAGCGCCACCACATCCCATTTAGACAAAGTCCATTCCAAATCCCTAATAATGCACTAGACAGGGATGGGTGCAAACAGGAGCTGGGTGCAAACAGCAAAGCAGCTGCTTGATTCGTCTGAAATGTGGCGTTGGAAGAGACCTTTGGGCACATCTTGGACTGCCAGAAAGATGAACAAGCGGGTCCTTGATTAAATCAAGCCCAGACTCTCTCTGTAGGCACAAATGTTGAAACCGAGGCTGTCCTACTTGGGTCACACGATGACAAGGCAGGATTTTCTGGAAAAAGACCATCATGCTAGGAAAGGGGGAAGGCAGCAGGAGAAGAGGAAGACGAGATCGAGTGACTCCCTAAAGGAAGCCCTAAGCTTGATTTTACAAGAGTCGAGCAGGGCTGTTGAGGATGGGAGATTTTGGAGATCGTTCATTCATAGGGGACGGATTAAGTTGGAAGCGACGTAACAGCGCATACAACAACATTTTCTACCAGGTTGGGGCCTGACAGAGATTTTAGGCTACCAAACCTGTCTGCTCTGGAACACAGGGCAATTAATCGAAGGAAGAAAAGAGGGAACCTCGAGGCAGAGCTTAGATTAAGTTTACTTCTTTGGGCTCTCGTTCTCACAATGCCTTCGGAGCATTAGCAGAAACTTTTCCACTCTTTATACAACGAGCACCTTATCTTAGTGATACAACCTCTGTACTCGCGTGTTGACTAGAAAATTCAACACAGGACAGCGTGGGCAGCGAAGACTTTAAGTTAGTTATTCTTTGTGCCAAAGAACATCCCAGAGGTTGGTCAACTGAATTTCGGGATGAGATGGGGGACGGTAATGAATCTGCCCCAGTTTTTAGTCCAGACTTTAACAAGGTTTCTTCAAGGGGCCGAATCCTCTCTTCGAAAATACATCCGGCCCTTTGGCTTAGCTCATCCAGACTGAAACACGAAGCAGAATCATTAAAGACCACAGAAAACTTGGCAGCAGCCACCGGCCAGCATGCCTTGAAAGGGGTATTCGAGCCATTCATGGAGGAAAGGAGTGCCAGAATATCCCTTAATGGAGCTTCATGGTCCCGAAGCAGTCTATCTGTGAAGGCAGAACAGCCTTCCTCCTCTTCCTTTCAAGCTCCCTGAAAGAATCAATCCACTACGAGGAGATGAATGCTGGGTAATCCTTCCATCGGAAATGGCGTGGCTCCTAGGTTCTTACGGAAGGGACTTCAGAGGCCTTTGTCCTCTGGGGTGGTCTCAAAAGCTGCCGCCATGTCCAGAGAGCGAATGAAACAGAGAGCAACAAAAGTTGACAGAAAGGCCGTCACTGTGTGTTTATTTAGCTATGCCGACTGCGTAGAACCTCCATATTCCGGGGCACTATATCTCAATACATTAGAGAATGAAGGCGAGTCAAAGGGGGGAGAGCTGCTGCCTTTTCTGGAAAAAGCACGACGGGCCAAGCCGATTTTCAACAAGACACTCCTTCGGCGGAATCAGCTCGTGTGGGCTGGCATAAGCGTCCGATTTCCCCCCTGTGACTCCCCCAACCAGAGGCAAAGGTTCTGCTTACCTCCGCCTGGAATCCTGCGGGATAAGGGTGCCTGGTGACAGGGGGAAATTCGGTGAGGAACTCGCCCAGCCGGTCGTGAATCTTGCGCCGGATCGTGCACGCCATGTACTCCTGCTTCTCGGAGGCCACCCAGCAAGGGACAATATTGTGAGCGTCCACCTGGCGAGAAAAAAATCGGAAGCAAAGACATCGGAAAAGCCCAAACTGCCTTTCAGCCGTCACACCTAGGCAGGCAGCCTGCCTCCTCGGGCATCGGTTGCCAAAGGCTGACAAGGCATGGGGGGAAGGCACCTGGAACGAACTCTGTTTAAGGCAGAGGGCGAGAAGTGATTTTTAGTTCTTCTGGACTACAACTCCCAGAATCCCCCACTTGCCAGGGCCAGGGCATTCTGGGATTTTCTGTTCCAAAAAACACCCTTTCCAAGCTTTGCTTCGAACTTCTGTCTGGGATACCAAGTCATTATCCTTCAGCCTGGCAGTGATGCATTTATACTGAGAAAGGGGCTGATAAGCAGGTTAAGAATCGGAACATCACTGCAGGTCCCAGACTAACCATGTGTTGTGACACCAGCTTTTGATCGGCTGAACCCCTCTTCTCGAGACAAAAAAAAGGCAATCAATGGGGTATAACCAGAAAGACATGGGTGTAAATTTACTTTATAAATGTTTACTGAGCTTTGCGGTGCAGTGGCTAAACTGCAGTCCTGTGGTCGAAACTCTGCTCACAACCCAGGTTCAATCCCTGGAAGCCAGCTTCAGGTTCACTCAGCCTTCCATCCTTCTAAGGTTGATAAACTGAGGTCTCAGCTTACTGGGGAGAGGGGGCAATGGGCAGCCTGCATAATTAAAATAGTAAACTCAGAGAATGCTTTAAGCACTATGGGGCAGTATATAAGCAGCACACATTGCTCTTTGTGTGTGTGTGTGTGTGTGCGCGCTTTTACTAAGAAACACACACATCCAAACTCTTCATCTCCTGGGCACCCCTGCTAGGCAGACGCCAGTTTCCTCACCTGCACGAAGGGCACCTCGGGGGGCAACTCATCCCGAACGTCTTGCACCCATTGCATAGGGAGCCGGAGGGGGGAAAAGTCGGTCACCACCCCACCGATGCTGTGCTTTCTCACAAAGGGAGGGAGGGTGTCTTTGGCAACGCCGATCAGCAAGTGGAAAGGGATGCTGAGCTCCTGGCATTCCTGGAGAAGCGGGAAAAGAAAGAGAGGAAGCACCGTCTGAAAAGGGGACACCCGCATAGCCGGTGAGGATCGCCCGTCATCTCCTCAACCCACACCAATCTTGCCTCCCCTCAAAGAAAGCCACCGCTTCTCAGAGACTTTCCACCGGGTTCCTGACTTACAAGCACGAAGGAACGAGTTTCTGCTCCAATGATCCCTCTCTTAACCCAAAAAAAAGATTAACTTTGAGCACGGGTGCAAGAATCGGACGGCAGATAACCAGCCTGCCTCGGCCATTGGGGGTCGGTGTGAGACTCTGCTCCAGGAGACGCACCCGTCTGCTTAAGTGCGTCGGGCAAGACGGTACCGAATGATGCAGGATCGGACCGGAGGCTTTAAGGAGCTTTTAAACCTCTTCTTTCCCATCACTGATCATAGGGAACAGCGGTAAAGGCCAAACCGGAAGGCTGGAGGGTGGCCTTTGGCCCAGGGCTAGACAACCCTCACCCATTTCCAGCTGGTGTGTGAATACCCTGTCATCTCCATCAGGGACCCACTTTCACGCCTCCAAAGCCACCCTCCGGGAGCTCGTGTTCAGACACTCTCTGCTTTCCATCCTCCCCTTCCTCCCCCCGTACCTGGGCCACTTCCTTGAGGCCTCGGAGCATGAAGCCGAAATGACGGATAGTGGCTTCCAAGAACTTCGGCACCAGGCAGAAGCAGACGTGTAGGGGAAGCTTCTGTTTCAAGGCCAGGCGCTGGGCGTACAGGAAGGCCCAGTTATCTGGGGAAGAAAAGCCCCAGGCAGAAGATTAGAGGACTGTTCCAACCCGGGCAGCTTGGTGGCCACAAAGAGACTGGGCGTCCGAGGATCTGCACACCAGCCTGCAGGTGTCCTCGAGGCAGAGGCAATGCCTAGTAGCAAACAGAAGGCCCTCCCTGCAGGGCTGGCGTGACTTCAGTGGGCCCCCGCTAAAGACCAGAGGCGAACAAAAGGGGTAACAACCAGCCGCCCACTGCCCTCTCCCTCCCTCCAGCCTAGAGCAGAGTTTCAAGGAGTTATTTTTGCATGCAGTTTCCCAGAATCCCATGCTCAGGCACTGGAGGATTCTGGGAAGAATAATCCGGAGCGGTAAATAACCTTCCCGGGGGGACTGGGACCGACAGGAGCATCGCAGGCTGCTTTCTATTAAATCAGAAACACGCACACACACCCAGTCCATTTAGCTGACTCCATGGCGCTCTCCAGGGTTCTAGGTACCCTGGGAAGCCTGTGTTCTAGAACCCCGGAGCTGCAGACACAAGGAGGATGTTCCTTGCCTATTGCAACAGCATCTCTCTCTCTCAGCAAGAGTGGAAACGGGACGCTTCTGGGTGCAGCCCGCCATCCGCGGATCTCACCTTGCACCCTCTGGTCCCGGGACATCCAGTACAGGATCCCTTCCCCTTCTTTGAGATTTGATTCCTCAGAGATCATGCGGACCCGTTTCTTGTTATACTTGAACTCTGCAACGGAAGGCGCCGCTTTCAGCCGCGCTTGCCTCACGGCCTCGGCCAGGGATCCGGGCCCTCTGCTAGCAGCATCCTCGCCAGTCTTCATCCTCTTCACCTTCCCCGCACCCAGTTCTTCTGACACCGCTGAAGGGACACTACCATCCTCTGGGGGCACACCATCTTGGGCAGCTGCGTTTCCAGACTCCGCGGATCCAGGCAGCGTTCGTTTTCTCGTCTTTGGCGGCATCACAGGGTCTCGCCTCCGGGAACCGAGAGAAACGGCACAGACCCCTCAACGACCCGGTAAAATCCAAACCAAACCAAACGCTGGCTCTGCTTCCTCCGAACAGGGTGGGAACAGCCTGGAATTAAGCAGAAAAGACCCCTGAAAACAGTCACAGAACATGGAAAGGCTACTTTGCCGGATGATAAAGCACAGAATGGCCTAGAGACTTGTATACTTACTGTTGGCTTTATTATTTATTTAAAGTATTTTTATCTTGCCTTTATTTGTTTCTATTTAATACAGCACACATATTAGTGTCACAGCCTTTCTCCTTAAAAGCAACCGGGGCGGTTTACATCATTAAAGTACAATATTTAAAGCTAAAAGCAGCAAGCATATAAGTACCAGAAAGGGTCAAAGACCACACCAACTTGTTATATAAAAATACCAAAACATGTTCAAAGCAGTAAGACACAACCATTCAATGTATTTTCGAAGGCTTTCACAGCCGGATCCGATGGTTGTTGTGAGTTTTCCGGGCTCTTTGGCCATGTTCTGAAGGTT